ATCCTCCCCCCTCTTCCTTTCCGTCGTCGTCGTCGTCCTCCTCCTCCCCCTCCTCGTTCCTCCTTTCTCGTCGTCACCCCCCGTCCCCCCCTCCTTTTCCTCCTCGCCCTCGTCGTCAGCCTCATCTTCGTCCTCGTACTCGTCGTCGTCGTCGTCAATGAACGTGTTCAGACACAGCCGCGCCGCAAACGCCGATGTGCTATTGTAGAGTCAACGTGGGCCGGATCGGGGGAATGGCGCGAGGGCGCTTTCCCAAACCAATGCGAGCAAGCCCGCCGCAGGCGCCGATTTGCGTGCTCTGACAAGCTCAGCGCGGGGGGGATCGCTAGTGGGCTACCCGGAACGAATGCAAAAACAGCCCGCCGCAGGCGCAGAATTTTTAGCTTGTTCAGTGAACGTAGTTTGGGTGGCAGGTGGGTCGCGGGCTCTCCACCTCCACCTGGAAGGAATTAAAAAAACAGCCCGCCGCAGGCGCCAACAAAAATTGATTTGTACACTGAACGCGGTTTGGGTCGCAGGTTCTTCACCTGGAACGAATGCAAAAACAGCCCGCCGCAGGCGCAGAATTTTTAGCTTGTTCAGTGAACGTAGTTTGGGTGGCGGGTGGGTCGCGGGCTCTCCACCTCCACCTGGAAGGAATTAAAAAAACAGCCCGCCGCAGGCGCCGACAAAATTTGTTTTGTGCACTATGATCATGAATTAACTAATATTTAAAACACGTCGTAACAATATACGGGGTTCGAAATGATGGGTCTTTTCTTAATTGCTCAAATCCAATTTGAACCAGAATGTGATACATTTCCCGGGACGATCAATCAAACATCGATAACCTGTAGGGAATCATGATTTACTGGCATTCTTGCCCAATCCTCCGAATTACGGACTCCGAATTACAAGTATATCGACATCATTACCAATTATGTTTACGCTCACAATGTTCACAAAACACGCACACATTGAATTAATCCGGCAAAGCAACCTAACAGCGATGTGTAGGAGCATATCTGCAAGCATTCCCCTTACGATTCAGATGAGAATCCAGTTGTAGAATTCTGCTGTTCTCGCAGTCGTAGTCGCATTCGCGATGACAGTCGCAGTGGCCTGCATCAGCCTCAACCTCAGCCTCAGCCTGCCTCAGCATCAGCCTCAGCCTCAGCCTCAGCCTGCCTCGGCCTCAGCCTCAGCCTGCTTCAGCCTCAGCCTCAGTCTGCCTGCAGCCTCGGCCTCAGCCTCAGCCTGCCTCAGCCTGAGCCTGCAGCCTCAGCCTCAGCCTCAGCCTGCCTCAGCCTCAGCCTCAGCCTGCCTCAGCCTCAGCCTCAGCCTGCTTCAGCCTCAGCCTCAGTCTGCCTTCAGCCTCGCCTCAGCCTCGGCCTGCCGCAGCCTCAGCCTGCATCAGCCTCAGCCTCAGCCTCAGTCTGCCTCAGCATCAGCCTGCCTCAGCCTCAGCCTCAGTCTGCCTCAGCCTCAGCCTCAGCCTGCTTCAGCCTCAGCCTCAGTCTGCCTCAGCCTCGGCCTCAGCCTCAGCCTGCCTCAGCCTCAGCCACAGCTGCATCAGCCTCAGCCTCAGCCTCAGCCTGCCTCAGCATCCGCCTGCCTCAGCCTCAGCCTCAGCCTGCCTCTGCCTCAGCCTCAGCCTGCTTCAGCCTCAGCCTCAATCTGCCTCAGCCTCGGCCTCAGCCTCAGCCTGCTCAGCCTCAGCCTGCATCAGCCTCAGCCTCAGCCTCAGCCTGCCTCAGCATCAGCCTGCCTCAGCCTCAGCCTCAGCCTCAGCCTGCCTCAGCCTCAGCCTCAGCCTGCTTCAGCCTCAGCCTCAGCCTGCCTGCAGCCTCGGCCTCAGCCTCAGCCTGCCTCAGCCTCAGCCTGCATCAGCCTCAGCCTCAGCCTCAGCCTGCCTCAGCCTCAGCCTCAGCCTCAGCCTGCCTCAGCCTCAGCCTCAGCCTGCCTCAGCCTCAGCCTCAGCCTGCTTCAGCCTCAGCCTCAGTCTGCCTTCATCCTCGGCCTCAGCCTCAGCCTGCCTCAGCCTCAGCCTGCATCAGCCTCGGCCTCAGCCTCAGCCTGCCTCAGCCTCAGCCTGCATCAGCCTCAGCCTCAGCCTCAGCCTGCCTCAGCATCAGCCTGCTTCAGCCTCAAGCCTCAGTCTGCCTTCAGCCTCGGCCTCAGCCTCAGCCTGCCTCAGCCTCAGCCTGCATCAGCCTCAGCCTCAGCCTCAGCCTGCCTCAGCATCAGCCTGCCTCAGCCTCAGCCTCAGCCTGCCTCAGCCTCAGCCTCAGCCTGCCTTCAGCCTCGGCCTCAGCCTCAGCCTGCCTCAGCCTCAGCCTGCATCACCTCAGCCTCAGCCTCAGCCTGCCTCAGCATCAGCCTGCCTCAGCCTCAGCCTGCCTCAGCCTCAAAAAATAATCACCATAAAAATCGAAAGAACTAAATAAAAAACAAAAAAAAGAAAAAAGTCAAGATAGAAAATAAAAAATCAAGAAAAAAAAATACAAAACCAAACAAACTCAAAAAAACAAAAACTCAA